TGCTGCTGAAGGATCTGTAGCTCATCATGGGCTTGTGTAGACAGAGGCAAAATGAAGAGCGAGTCTAGATCTTCGGCCTGTATGACCACTTGCACAGAGACAGTGTCGGTACAGAAAGTGATCAACTAGTAAATATTTGTAGTTTTGCTGTACGCTGTGATCGGAGGTGGTCCAGCACTCAATAACACAGGATTTAGACTGGTTCGGACAACGTGCCCTACGTCCAGTGTGGGTCTGTTGGTGACTATTCCTGAGCCCAGGTGCTCGAAGTCTGTAGTGGGGTTACAAACGAGAAGGAGAAATGAGGGGTGTACGAGAGGCCCGGTCGGGTCCGACCGGAACTCCACTATGAGCTAAGTGTTCAAGCGTGTGCTTGAGAGATTTCTCAGCTATCGATCTAGTGAGCCTGAGCTTGAAGAAGTGGACCTCTGGAAAATCGATCCCCTTTGTTGGAGGGAGCGCATCCCCTTTTATAAATAAAGGGGATGACTTTACAGGTGAGAGGGAGAGAGTACAGATGTTTCTAAGTCTTGTTGCCCACACCGAGTGAGGGTAATAATGATGGTTGGCACACATAACACTGTTGATGTCGTTGTAGAATGTCAGGTGCATATGGGGGGTTGCGTTGGCTTCTTCAGGAAGGGTGGACGTCGGTGCTTGTGAAATGCTGTTAGTATATGAGGAGCCCCACCACGTGTACCAGGTATGGTGAATCCTGGTGCCCACTATCGATGACCAGAGGCATGTGGGGGCCTTTTTGCCGTGGGAGCCCCAACGACGCCTACAATACTGTAGACATAAATGTCGGCGCCTACAATACTGTAGACACAAATGTCGGAACCTCCCATACTGCTTGTGTCAGGTCGGTTGTGGAGCACTGTTCCCGCAGCGCGTACAGGGTATGGTCCCGGTACCGTGTTTTGACTTTGTGCGCTGCTTTCTCCGTTCGTCCCTGGTCCCTTCCGAGTGGGAATCCCCGGTCGGATGGCTCCAGTCGGTACTAGCCGTGCCAGTCGGAGAAGAGCGATAAGCAGACTTCCTACGAGCCTCCGGTCGGAGACACGGGGTCGGAGTAGGAAGCAGCGTTTTGGGCTAGGCCTTCCGATCGGGGAGTCCGCCCGGAGACGGCCGGCGCCCGAGGCGAGCGCTCCGGTCGGAAAGGTGGGCCGAAGAAGTTGTCGAGCGGGCGTTCGTTCTTTCGGTGGACCCTCCGGTTGGCGACCGGTCTATCCCCCGGCCTGTTGTTTTGTAGACTTTTTGGGCCGGCCTATGAGCTACAGGCTGTTCTCCTGGGCCGAGCCCGAGCGTCGAAGCTAGTCCCCGAGTGACCCCGGGTTTATGAATTTCATTTCGAGCAAAGGTAAAGAGCCGAGGGAACTGGCTAGACAGCACCACATCTGACCAGAGATCTTCCCAAAAACAAGCCGTCGAGCCGTCAGCTATCGTGCATTTAGCAATACCTCTATAGATGGTGCTAAGCCTCAAAATGTTCCGCCACCAGAAGGACCCAATTTCACGAGAAGCATGCGGGACTTTGTTGTGGTAGTACCTGTCCCATATGAGGCGGACCCAAGGAACGTCCGCTTTGTTATAGAACTTATGCAGGTGTTTCATGAGTAGTGCATCATTTTGAAGTCTCAAGTTGATGACGCCAAGTCCACCTTTTTCCTTTGGCTTCGTAACACAGTCGGCCAGGCAACCAAGTTGCCGCCCTTGGCCTCAGGATCACTACCTCGCCACAGACACTTTTTCCTGGCACGATCTGTGTTGTCAATGACTCCTTTTGGGACCTTGATGGTACTAAGGGTGTATGTGGTTATCGGAGTAATAGCCGAGTTTACCATCTCAAGCCTTCCCGAATAGGATAGCCAGGTAGAGAAAGCTGATAGGCGCCTTTCAATTCTGTCCATCATCGGTGTCAAGTCTTCAATGCGTGGCTTTGTCGTTCCCATTGGAAGGCCGAGGTATGTGAACGACAGCGAACCAATTTGATAACCAAAGGTGCTCGCTAAGATGGTCATTCTATCTGGCTGTACATTAATCGGAGCCCTGAAGATTCCTCAAAGCTGCTCAACAAAGCTTTCAGGAAAAGAGTTGATTTGCATCAGCCTAGAGGATAAGTAATGTGTCGTCGGGATTGGCGCTTTGAGGAAAGTCTCCGTTTGCCTATGGGATTGGCGCTTTGAGGAGATTTCTTTCCGCTGCCTTGTTGACCAAGTACTGAAGGAGCTCAGCCGCAATAACGAAAAGAAGAGGGGATATCGGATCTCCTTGCCGCACCCCACGCTTACACTTGAAGAATTTCCCAGGTACACCGTTGAGGAGCACTGCAGATGACCCAGATGATAGAATACAATGAATCCATGACAGCCATTTGTCCGGGAATCCCATGTGTTGCATCATCTGCAAAATGGTACAGTGCTCAATTGTGTCGAACGCTTTCTCGAAGTCTAGCTTCAGAATGATGGCTGCACTCCGGGACTGGTGACACTGCTAGATGTACTCAAAGCACCAAGCTAGGCAGTCCTGAATCGAGCAGGTTTGAATGAACCCGTATTGATTTTGGTGTATGAGTTTCAAGATCACTGCCTGGAGCCTGTCGGCGAGTATCTTAGTCAAGGTTTTGAGACTGCCATTCAGGAGAGAAATCGGTCTGAAGTCGTTGACCCCCTCCGGGTTGCTGATTTTAGGGACCAGCGTGATGAAAGAAGTGTTGATGCATTCCAAATTAATTGTACCATTGTAGAAGTCATCACAGAGAGTATAAAGATTATTTTTGACAATGTACCAACACTTCTTCAGGAATAGCCCATTAAAACCATCCGGACCCAGAGCCTTGTCAGGAGGCATTCTCCTAATGATTAGATCAATTTCTTCATGCTGAAAGGGAATAATGAGCTCATCTAAACCCAGGGTGGGTTCAATAAATCGTGAGAGATCGAAGATCATTACAGGGTTTGAAGAAATACCCATTCTTTTCTTAAAAGATTGCCAAAGAAGACCAGCTTTGCCATGATGACCATGAATCCAAATGCCCTGATCATTTTGCAGCTGTGAAATGGAGTTTCTTCTGTAAGAGATAGTCGCCATTCCATGGAAAAACTTGGTGCATTCATCACCCAATTTAATCCTGTTTACTGTGTACCGCTTCTTCCAGTAGAGATTTTTGTAGCGCAGCAACTTTGCTCACTGTGTTTTGACTAGTCTTCTGAGGTTGTTTTCTGTATTAAAAGGACCTCTGGAATCTTCCAAGGCGTCTAGAAATGAAATGACTGTGTTACAATTGGTTATCAGCAGGGATAGATTGGAGAGGCCCCGGCTCCATTTTTTCAGAGCTGTTCTCAAGTTCTTGAACTTGGCCGACAAGGTTTTAGCAGATGAGTCCAACTGTGGAGTGGATGATCAGCAGCTGCTGACTGTGTCCAAGAAACCTTGGTGTTCTGCCCAGAAGTTCTCAAATCTGAATATTTTGGAGCGCAGGATACTGGTACCAATGGACACTTTGCATGGGATGTGATCGGAGGTGATTTTGGCCAGCGGGGTGACTTCTGTATTTGGATATGAGATGGTCCAATTGACTGAGGTAAAGAACCAGTCTAGCTGCTCCAGAAGAGGGTCACCTTGCATGTTACTCCAAGTATAGGCCTGAAATCTTCGATACTCTATTTTGATGGTAAAGGGTTGTAAGCCTGTGTATTTTGCAGGATTTCTCCCGTCGATGTTCTTTCAATGGATACTGGATCTTGTTGTCAACAACGAGTGGATTTTTCGGTCTTTAAAGCTATGTTTGGTGGGGGTGTTTGCAGGTGGCCCTTTTCTTGGTTGTCTTTGCAGTCTGATCTTCAAGCTCCGAAAGGCAGTGAATGTTCGAAAGAAGACGACCGGTCTGGTCTTTGATGTACCTTTGTTTTTTTAGGTCGTTTTGTGTCTTTCTGTCTATCTTTTGTACTAGTCTTTGTTTACCTTGACATGTATCAGATATGAAACACTCTTTTGAGTGTTTTTATATAAAAAAAGAGCTTCCAAGTAGGAGGTGATCAATTGTCTCCTTGTCCTGTCGCAGAGGGCCGAGAACTGCTGCTGTGGAGATTTGATGACAGCACAAGAACTGCTGCTCTCGAGATTATGTCGACGCCAACGATCCGACTATGTAGTGTCGACGCCAATGATCTGACTATGTAGTGTCGACGCCAACGATCCGACTATGTAGAGCGAGCCAACATACAAGTTTACATTTGGCAGGCGCCCGAGAGTCGAGAGCGAGCCAACATAAGAATTTACATTTGGCAGGCGCTCCAGCCTTCCAAAGCTCTTTAGCGCCAGCAAGCTGTGTGTGACCATGTAAGGTCAAGGAGCAGACGCTGCAGTATAGTTGGGAGGAGGACCAACGCCAAATGAAATGGTCTAGGGCCCCCTGGTTTGGCTCCACCGCTTGGACCAAATCCTAAACTTTGTATGGACTAGTATAATGCCCGTGTTAACGCTGCAGGGACATTTAATAATGCAAATCACACAACCAAAAAATGATTTACCTAATGCCCGTGCAAATCACACAACAAAAAATGGTTTACCAGCACAATACTTAGTTTCAAAAGATTTTTTCCCAAAATTACTACAGGACACCCACCTTTTTGCCAGAGAGAGCTTTATTATCACGGAATCAACAATATCATTACAAAACAAGACTCTTAGACACAAATCTGAGAACAATACTCAGTCTCTGCATGTCTGCCATAACATATTGGCCAAACATACATGTTCATGCACAACTTTATTTCGCTCACTCCAAACTTATCAATTCTTGAGCTTTGCAGCTACCAACCTTCCTGCTGAGCTCATGGGCTATCAATGTCACCAAGGAGCGATCAGGTTGTACTTGCACGTGCCAACAAAAGAAAAAGAAAGAAAGAAAACTCACGAGTTATTAGACTCTAGCATGCTACAGCTTTTGTTTCTGCTTCTACCGAATCCCCTCCAAGCATGCTACAGCTTCTGCTTCCTCAACATCCCTGCAATGTTACAACATTATTCAGTTATTATATATACAAGCATGTACATATGAAACTGCCAACAACACCCAAGGATGCACCGAACCAGATAAAAGGTAAAATATGTCTAGTGTATGCTAGAATTTGTTTGCAATCCATAATTGTAGAAAAGAAAATTCCAAGATGCCATTTAAAACACTAACAAGTTATCCAATCACACACTCCCTTTGATCCAATAATTAATTGATATCATTATCAGAGAAAAATTAATTGATATACCATAAAAAATCAATCTACCAACAAGAGTCAAGTCCAGCAAAAATATGTTGATATGCTTGAGATGGTTCAGGTGGACTTCAAGCTCAAATTGGAAGAACCCTCCTCAAATATTGTTCACCTGTCTAATATTTATATGCATGAGATTTATGCTATGATGAACAGCAGGGAATCAGCTTTGACAGAAGCACATTGATGCAATAAGAACAAGTGAGGAGAGACCATAAACCTTCAGAATCTCTGACGGTTGAAATCAACCTAACCACATAAAACACCTCTCGACAGGGGTCTTCCACATTCCAGACAGCACGTGAAAAGCGTCTGCCTTGGCTGCTACACCCTTAGGCCTGAAGCTTCGTAGTAATGTGCCACGATGCCTGTGCTAACGCTACGGTAAAATAGAAAACAAGATAAAATTTTGTAATGAGCTAGAGTAAGTTTGAATGACCTCGATTACATACTATCGATGATCAGAAGTAGCCATTCTGGCCCTGGCTAACATATGTTCACGTTAGGTAGAGCACAATACTATGTCATGCTTGTTGTAGAGCAACAACATGAGGACACATGATATTTTCATGGAATGAAAACAATTTTCTTTTTGCTGGCCACATAATTCACAAGTGCCATGTTGCTGAAGACGACGATAACATTTGTTAGCTCTTGTCGATAGACCATTTTTTAACTATGCTTCGTGATCATACATATATTGCAAGTGAAAGACCTTCTATTTTAACTGTTTGAAATGATACTTTCAATGCCTCAAATAGAGCCTTACAGTAGGGGCATGCCCCTTCTGTTTTCCTCAAAAAAAAAACCATAGATAACAATGATACATTTCTTGGTTTCCATCACTTGATATGTCAAAGATGAGAGCTCAATCAGGAACAATAGCAAACTCACTAACCTTGACAAAGAAAGAGACCACTTTGCTGCCAGCATGAACATTTATAGAGTCCTTGTTCACATGGAGAGCCCTGTACAAATAGATTTTGAAAGGCATCCAGAGTAAAAACCAAAATTCACCATTGACATGAAAATTATGCAGTATTGTTTGATGGCAAGGTCTGATTTTACATGTTGTCCATATATGACACCAATATTCACCGAGACCACCAAGTCAACCTTGTCATTGATTAACAGATAACCCAACATAAATTCAGTCTACAAGAACCTAAAGAATCAGCAAACTAAAACATTTCTATGCACCTGGTTAAATTCGCAAATAAAATTGGCTGTAGTCTACATTATGTCTGAAAGCAACCAAATTCTCATTTATACAATTCATGTAATCGATTCCCGCGCCTAGGAGGTACATCCGACGCGTGGAGCCGCCGCCGCCCTCTCCTGACCCTGCCTGGCTTCCCGTCTCCCGACCCTCCTCTCAGAAGAAAAGCAAAAGAAAAAAGGGGCGTGAGGGGAGCGGGGCAGGGAATCGAACCCCGGGCGAGACATCAAACTTCTTCCGTCGGCCATCGGATCTGGCGTGGGTGTTCTAGGAGCCCTTGATTTTAATGAAGACAATTTGCTGCATGTATTTTTGCTGGGTATGGAACATTTTTCTAGGGAGACCTAGTATAATTTTAATTGATTTATTATAGTAGAGAAGATTTATACATGATGGATAATCACACAAAACCCTATTTGGCAATACTAATAACACCGGAGGCTTATTGCCAAAATTGTCCTCATCTTATACATATATAAAGAATATATAATACATAGGTACAAAAAAAACTTGAGAGAACCTCAAAGACAAAAGAAAACAAAAAACTCTTGAGAGAACATCAAAAGCAAAATAAAATGAGAGAGAAAATAAAAATAAATACAGAGCCAATAAAAATATCAGATCTAGTCCATTGTCGGTACTCTTCCGGTAATAGTTGTACACGTGTAATACGAATGAATGTTTATCCCCTGAATACCAGTTTTTTTTTTCATATTTCACAATCGCCTTTTACCACACATCCCTCAGATATCTGCCCTCCATTTGGAGATTCTTCACAAAGCTCTCGGCCTTAGAACTGTCGAGGGAGCCCTGTTTGTCAAAAATGTCAACAATTGCATGAAAAACAACAGATGCAGAGAAAGAAGCATATTTATAGTATATAAAGTATTATGAAGTTTTAACTAGGCCTAGGATCAGTACCTGCTCCTGAACAATGGTGTGGAGAACTCTATGTACATCTCTGGCCATGCCTTTGGCATCACCACAGACATAGATGTAAGCACCTTGGGAGATCATGTCCCAGATTTCAGATGCCTGGAAATGGACAAAGGCATGAACTGTGAGCCACTGGGTTACGGACTGGAGGGTAACAGAAGTTTATCAGAAAAGGAGCAGCTGAATTACTTTCTGTGACATTTTGTGTTGCACATATTCCTTAGTAGGGCCCTGACGCGAGAAGGCAAGAACCAGCTCAGACAGTGCTCCTTGCTCAAGGAAATTGTTCAGCTCATCCTCATAGATGAAGTCCTGCAAAATCATAATTACATTAGCTACAGCCTACAACATTGAAGATCTTTGGTGTTAAGTCGATCATCTGTTTGGTGTGTACCATCTTGCTATTTCTGCATCCAAAGAAGAACACGGATTGACCAAGCTCAGCTCCAGATTCTTTTTGAGCTAGTCTCTCCTGGGATCATGAGCAAAATTTGCATGTTAGCGATTTGACCAGTGAATGAATGGTATAAATATAGAGTACCAAGGGCTGCAATAAACCTGCAAGAAGCCACGGAAGGGTGCAAGACCGGTCCCAGGGCCAATCATGATAATCGGCACTGAAGGATCAGTGGGTAGTTTGAAGTTTGATTGCCTCACAAATATGGGAGCCCAGCTGCAATCCTTGCTCTCTTCCGATGGAACAGCATTCTGCAAATCCAATTGGGATGGCCAAGCAACTTCAGGTAAAGCTCAAACATGAAAATCGTTCTGGTGAATTGGCTTAAAAAGTGCAAATTGGGAAGCAGGGGTTGTAAAGCAAGAGTTACTTTCTTTTCCAAATATCAAGGCAATTGTTAGGAGTAAGCATGGTTTGCAGAAACAAACATTAAATGATCAAAAACTGATTATATAAAAACAGACAGCTCTATAATCTTCAGTTGCCAGATGAGAACAGAGAGATCAAAACATTGAGATATCAGCCAGGCAATAAACACATAAAGAAAATCATAACATCAATAAGTTACCTTAATCCAAGTTGAGCAGACTCCCTTATGTACCCTTCCAGCGGGTGTTGTTTCATGCACGAGCGCACATGTGACATGAATCCTGGTTGCTGCCATACTGATGGATGAAAGGAAATGTAAGTCAACAGGAAAACAAATATTCATGATGAGAAGGGAAAATTATGAGTGGGGCTATTTACCTTGGTGAAGATGAAATAGAATAATATCTTGGTTGAAGACGAGGGGCAACAGCTGCAAAGAAGACTCCTAGTGGAGGTTTTGCCGAAGGGAACTCTGCCATGACTTCCAACAGGCTTCTCTGACTTGCCACAACCCATTGAGCGTACTCATCCTGCACAGTGAAAAAACGTGTTAAGCATTAAAGCTAGGGGCTCCATAGAAAGAACAAAGCTTGCACAGATCCCTGAGAAAGCAACTGACCTTCCCAGAAGCAGAAGCCAAGAACCTCAGGCGGTCAGCCTCAGCAGGATCTGAAGCATAAGTAGCTAATGCAACCAGAGAAGTCTGCAAATCATAATATCATTTGGTTGGGGAGATTTTCATTGATTTTTCATAAACCCTGTAGGATTTGTGCACTAATAAAACACTCACCTTCTTTGGTGAATTTAGAAGGTCAGCATATCTAGCAAGTGCATTCCTCACTGTGATTGGGGAGCGGAATGGAGGAGCAAGAGAACTGCCACTTAGTGGAGTACCATCCTCTTTGTCTGCATGGATGGTGAAAAATGTGTCTGGTGAGTAGCCCAACAACCTCTCTGCCTCCTCTACAACCTCAGGGCAGTTCTCGGTGTACACACCAACATGGTCCCCAGTTTCATACCTAATAAGCAGCATGATGAAATTATATTTACAAACAATGAAGAAAGGATATGAAGAACCAGAATTATAACAATGGTCAAACTCTGATATTGAAGCAATACAACTCCATCAGCAATCACATTCAACATGTGTTAGAATAATCTATCCCCATCCACTTTCTGAACTTTACAATTAGATCCTATTCCTGACCACTAACAAATTTATATGGTGACTTACGTGAGACCAGTTCCAGCAATGTCGAACTCCAAATGAGTGCATGAACGATCAGAAGCAGGGGTGTGGAGCTCCCGCCGCACAGCCACATTAGCCCTAAATATGCACATAAGTTTCGACTTATTAGCTTGAACTCCAATGTTACAGTAAAACTTGGGGCCTTCAACTTCGGCCATTATTGCAGATGTAGGGAATAGTGGCATTCTTACTGGCAAGGATGCTGGGCATCATGGACTGCATGGCCATTTGCAAGGCTGAAGTTTCTCTCCAAAAGAGCTGCCTCCTCAGGTTTGATGAATTCAACCCGGTATTCAGGAATAGCAGCTGTGTATGTAGTGCCTGTAGAGGCATCATTTTCATCCCGAAGTAATCGATCCAACTCTGGCCAGAGAGCTTCTTTCCTAAGAACACAACAAAGTTCAGAAAAGTAGCATAAATAACACTGAAGCAGTCAAATGCCCAAAAAAAATCAACTCAAAAGAAACCAGAATATGTACCATGCATTGAAGTCATCCTCAATGCATTGGTCATCGTCTCCAAGACCAACTGGAACAAAGCGCTTTCCACCTAAGCAAACATAAAATACTTAAGATCAGCTTAACATATTAACTAGAAAAAAGCCAGCGTGATACGATACTGAAGACTCAAAGGGGCATACCTTGTTCTGTTAGGATCTCATCAACCACCTTGGCAACCTGTAGCCAGAAGCAAAACATTAAGAAGACAATGAATGGCAATATAGTAAAGAATTTACAAATGGGAACATATATAGTAAAATGATCTGATAAGATCTGAGTACCTTGTTGAAATGCTCATACTGTCGATTGCCCAGACCAAACACAGCATACTCAAAGTCATTTAACCAGACACCCCTCTCATTTCCCTCAGTGAACCATTTGTAGAACCTAGCAGCATTGTCAGTCGGCTCACCATCTCCATACCTGAATTTGAACAAAAGTAACATTAGGAAGGCTTCCTTATTTTTGTACTCCAAAATCAATGAAAAAATAATCCAAATGTTGGCAGCCCCTGAACATTAACTGAATTATCATTTCTATTCCAAATCTTCCAATGCTTCAAAATATAGATTTCATTGTAAATTTTAGGACAACACATAAAAAATGTTGGTATTTTGAATCCAGTGATGGAAACATGCTGTTCTTGTCCAAATTCAGCCAGTGAAATTATGCATACACTGAGTTTTACTAATTGTATCCGCATTTTGCTCCAAATTTAAGTGCAATATTCAGTAAGAAAATACAGGACGCAACAGAGAGAACAAATGTCTCACGTTGCCACGAAGAACAACGCTAACTTCTCCTTCTTCAACTTCTCCTCATATTCCTCATCCTCTGCTGCATAATCATCCTACAAACAACCATAGTTCGTGGGTAAGATCATCTGAAGTGATCCTTCTCCCAGATCAATCATACCACACATTAGTTATCGGTTCCTTACCAAGTCCACAACTTTGAAGATTGCCTTGTCATATCTTGCTTTCGCCTCCTCAGCAAGCGCCTGTTATGTATATAGCAGATCAGAATATTCAGAAGACATATTCCAACGAAAGAATTCCATATACTGAAGACTATATCAGGGTGATTGATTCAAACTTTTTTTCGAAAACCTGTGATTGATTCAAACTAGAAAAGACAATTGCCTTTTCCCACCCAATCTACCGAACCACTCACTTTTTGCTTTCTCCTTTGTTGTTGCTTTTAGGCACAAAACCAAACACAATGATGTATCGATTGGGCCCAGAGAGAAGGTAGGAGGAAGAAGGTTTGTTTAGCCCACCAACCCCTCCTGGAGGTTTGACATTGACACCCATATTATTCGCAGCCAGGTGCTTGCGGTTGCGGGCTTATTTGTGGTCAACATTCTGCTACCGCACATGTCGTAGGCCTTTTGCTAGTAGAAGTTTGAAAAAGTCTTATGGATGTGAAGAACTTGCGGGTTTGACTTTCTCAAGCTGATAGGTGCGATAGTTGGACTAGAATACTTGTTTATTCCTTTTTTTTTTCGAGAAGTTAATAGGTGTGATAAATAAAATTCAAGTTTTGCTCACATGTGCTCCAAATCTCGCGGTAACTTTCGTAGATGACTCGCGTGCAGTGAAATTTCGTGCCGTTACGAAAGCAACCCCCAAGGCTGGCATGACAGTGATGGAGAAAATTTTAAAAACCCGTTTGCATCACCCACCAAGAACTAGTTCCCTTCATCATTAACAAAAATTCCCCCACTCCCTTAGGATTATTGAAAAAAATGAAAATTGCGTGCTAACATAAACAAGAGTAGCAGTTCACCACCTAGAATTCGTCAAACACGGGGAGAAACTAAGGGGCATCAGAGATGATGATTGATTGATTGATTGATTTGGTTATGGCAGGGAGCGACGCACGCACCTTGGCGAACCCCTCGGCGGTGCCGGTCTGCGTGCCGAAGAAGACGGTGACCTTCTTCGTGCCGTCATCGGCCGGCTTCTCGTCCTCGGCGCCGCCCTTGACGCCGCCCCTGGCCTTGGCCTGCGTGGCCTCCGCGACGGCGGCCTCCCTCTTGCGCTTCTTGCCGGCGGCGGCGCGCCTCCAGAGCACGAAGAGCGTGGCGCCGAGCACCGCGGCGGCGAGCGTGGCGAAGAGCGCCCGGCCCTCGGCGCCCTCCCCGCCCATCAGCTCGGGCGGCACCCGGCCGCGCAGCAGCGCGGCCACCAGCTCCATCGCCCCCGACGTTGTCGCCGAGTCCATGGTCACGTACGTCACTCGGCGACCGAGGGGTTGGTTTGGTGGCGGTGGTGGTACCGTAGTAGGTGAGGCGATGGATGGCAGAGGGGAAGGCCCGGATCGGACGCGGCAGCGGCAATGGGTACTGTAAGTGTACGTGTAATTACAACAGCTGCTGGAACGGCTGCTGCCGGCGAGGCGTGGGAGGTGCGGGGGCTTTTATAGGTGGCCGGGCGGCGGGGTTGGCGCGGCGTGGTCAAACCACCGACCACCGCGCCGTCGTAGAGGAGGGAGGGAGGCAGAGGCATCGCTGCGACTAGCGGGGGCTCTGCTGCGTGGACCCGGTGCAGCGGGGGTAGGTTTGGGAGACGGTCAGACGGAGGAGAAGCGTGGCCGCTCGGTGGCGGCGCGTTGGGGCGGGGAGTGGGCCCGCGTGTCGGGGAGGCTGGAATGCAAGCATGTGCTCCGTGTTGCGCCGTGGGGGGAAGCAAGTTTATTGGCGGCAATAACGAGGAGCGCAGCAATGATGAGAATATCATCATAAATAGTTTAGAAAAAGTCTACTTAACCCCAACATTTTATACTTAACCATCTTTTTCTACTTTCTAAAACCGTCTATTTTACACTCAGGCGGTTTTCATTACGATTCCTACAGTAACAACTGGTTGCTACAGTAACAATGGTTTGATTTTTTAAATTTATTTTCAGTGAATTTTTTAAAAATCATAGTAAATCATAAAATGAAAAATCTAATTTTGTTGAACTCCACATGAGTAGATCTACATAGTGAATATATAATACGGTATGCTTTAGTACAAAATTTTTTCTTGTAGCCTTAGATTAATTGAAAATCTAACTTTCTAAAATTGGAATAATTCATAAATGCTTTTCTATGGTCCAATTGTGGTGAAATTTTTATTACGCTAATTATTGTATGCTTGAACTAGTAAAAAAGCATTGGATACATAACGTAGTTATTATATATTCTAATTAATTGTGATAAAATTAGATTTTCTAATTAATGAGTCCAATAAAATTAGATTTTTCATTTTATGATTTTTCTATGATTTACTATGATTTTTCAAAAATTCACCAAAAATAAAATAAAAAAGAAAATTGAAAACACCGTTACTGTAGCACCCCTTTGTTACTGTAGCTAACCCGCCGTTGAAAACCGACCAGGGGGTAAAATAGACGGTTTTAGAAAGTTCAGGGGGTAAAACAGACGGTTTCATAGTTGGGGGGTCAAGTAGATCAAGTATGAAAGGTGGGGGTTAAGTAGTTTTTTTCCTAAATACTTTGCGGCAAAATAAAAAAAGAGACACTGCTCCATTCTTAAAAAAAATATTACTCGTCCCATTCTAAATTATAAAATATTTTAGTTTTTCTAGTAGATACATTGTTTTAACTATGTGCCTATTCATAATGTATATCTAAGTGAATAGTAAAAGCTACGTACCTAAACAAAATCAAAATGTTTTATAATTTAGGATGAAAGGAGTATAACTTTTATTAGACCAAGTAATTTTAAATTTGATCCGATCTATAAAAATCATAAATATTTATGGTTAGTATCATTAAATTAATTATAAAAATATCTTTACATTAAATCTATTTGAGACATACTTTTGGTATTATTGTTTACTATAAAACTAGTAAAATTTAAGAAAAAAATATCTGCTTCAAATCTAGAATTGTACTCTTTTGTGATAGAGAGAGTATTCCGTTCATCATTTCTAGTACTACTGGACTACTACATTCATTTTTAAAGGACAAGAAATAGTATCTCCCCGCCCCCAAATATTTCATTATCTCCTCACACACACGCCCGCGTTCCCTGTCCGGTCCCGTCTTGAGCCCCCAGACCATCATTGACACCGCCCATCCTTCTCCAGAAACAAGTAAGCATCTCCAGGAGTTTCTAAATTCTCTTCCTAATCCTTAGTTTTTAGTAAGATGAGAAAAAATCAGTGTTATCCTAAACGCTAAACGGTAAACAGTCGGTCACCTACCGTTTAGCCCACTATTCGGGCAAAACGGGTGTTTAAACGGGAAAACGGCCGTTTAAGTCAAAATGAGAAAAATATTTCCTCAGCGGGTTAAACGGCCGTTTAGGTGAACAATGGAAAAAACCTTTCCTCAACAACTTCTAATCCATACTTTAATTCTTTTAGAGCATCTTCGAGAGTTCCCTAAACCTCATCCTAATTCTAAGTTTTAGAAAGATTTATAAAAAATCCATCTCCAACAACTTCTAATACAATCCCCTAATATTTTAGGAATCAAAAAAAATCCCTCTCATCCGCGTAACTTTACGCGACGCAGCCTCGTGTTCGACTTCCCTCGCGCGCGAACAACAGAAGGAGATCGTCGCCGACGCCGTTGTCTGGAGAGGAGTTGGTCGCCAACCATAGATGATCGTGAGGGCGTTGAGGATGATGATGCTTCGTGTCTTCTTCTAGGCGAACAGGATCCGCCTCCACACCGGTCGCCCGTGCGCCGGCTTCTTCCTCGATCTTGGCCTCCGCCTCGCTGCTGGCGCCGCGCACCGGGGCGCCACGAGGACCCTTGCCTGGCTCGGCGACGCGGACCAGCGGGGCTCCGCGACGGCGAGCATCGCGCGGCAGGAAGGGCCCGCCGCTGCGGCCCCAGCCCCGCCCGTCTGCAGCGGCAGCGCCCACAACGCGGGCGTGAGGGAAGAAGCCATGCCAAGACCGCTCGAGTCCTGCGCTCCTGCTGCTAGTGCAATGGAGTGAGCAGAGCAGGTGTAGCGGCCACTGGTATGGTGTTCTCTGACTGGAGGAGTAAAAAGGTGATAGGATGGAATGAAACTCGTAGGAAGAAGACGACCTTGGCTCATCGGAATGTGGAACCCGTTGGCGTTTGTGGTGTTGGGGAAGAGCTTGTCTCTGGCGACGAGCGGGCGGAAGAAAGCAGGAGATTTTATTTTCTGTGGACGGCGTCGACGGCCACAAGCCCGCTGTGTCGGAGTCGGAGCACAGACGGGCGCGCTCTGCAGTTTCCCGTGACGGAAAAGAAAAAAAGTCGAAACATAATTCATGTGGCCCTAAATTTGATTTTTTTAGATGTCATTTATTAGAAATTCTTGAGATAATCTTCTTTTTTTCTCCTCAAATCATTTTAGGAGTTGTCAAACTACAAGTTTTTAGGAGAAAAAGTAGGAAACTCTTGGAGATGCTCTTAGAACTTGAGAAACTCACCATATTACGCGTAAAGTTACGCGCTTCCGAGTCGCGTGTATCTTTTCTCCCGTACGTGTTTGTCAGCCGATCTAAAAGTGGAAAGACATAGAAAGAATAAATAGTAGGAAAGGGTTCCTGATGCAAATGTATAAGAGAGACAGAATATATAAAAGTGGTTAGGATAATTTAGAAATAGTATATGATTCCTGATGTAAAATTGTCTTTGATATTTTATGAGTGGATTATTAGAAACTCTTGAAGATGGTCTTCTTTATTCCTTCCAATGCTTTTTTTAGAGTTGTAAAACTTTATATTTCTAGGAAGAAAATATTAGTTACTCTTGAGATACTTTATAGCTAATAGTTTTTAGAAAAGCTTTCAAAGCTAGGTTTTTAAGATTCAATTGTTTTATACTGTTGGAGATGCTCTCAACGCTAGCAAGAGGCGGCTACCTATTATATATTCGACTGGAATCAAAGGTTAATTGTTCCTCGCGTCCTTTTCCTTCATGGCTTAATCATTTATTCAACGATGAGTTATTTCCGACAAATGATATCGTTTGAAGACTGGGATGACTCTCGCTTAAAGCAAACTACGTGAATTTCTGCCCAAAATAATACTAATTTGTGTTATTATTTCTAAGATAAGAGTAGCGAGCAAACCAGTGGTGTCAATATTTATTACATGGCGTACGGTACCTAAGGAGTTGAAAAGTGTCAAATTAATCGGAAATGCTATGGGCCTGTTTGCATGGTGACTGCCAGGCAACTCAGAAGACAGGCAAGAATGCCAGGCGTCCGATTTCTTGTGCCTGTGGCCAGGATGCGTTGCCTGACAGGCAGCCAGGGGCCAGGGCATCATCCAAACATGCCCTATGTGCGTGTGTAGGGCCTCCGTCCCGTCCGGACGCCCCTTCATGCGTCTAGGTACCAGCCCAATAGACATCGCGTGTTTGTCACTTTCATTGCTCTTGTTGTCCGCACCGCTGCTCCTGCTCTTGTTCCGCATGCCCGCCCCATTGCTCCTGCCGCTACTCCTGCTCCTGTTCTGCATGCCCGCCCTACCCGACGACACCGATAGGCGCCGTCAGCGCAAAGAGAAGCGCTGGGCCTGAGCCCCTAACATGGAAGCTCTGATCTCGTCTCTTGCTACAGCTACGGCGCGCCGGCGCCCTAATGTGAGACAACAAAGGAGGCTACATCGGAACGATGTATGTTGCAAGTGTACAATTCAAATGTTTTAGATTTTTTAGAGATATGTTGCAAGTCTTTTATACAGATGTTGCAAAAGTAGATCGGATGTTACATATGTTGCAATGGTTGTGCATGTATGTTGCAAACGTGTGTCCCAATGTTTCATATGTTTTTTCAAACGTATGTTGTAGGTATGTTTATCTGGATGTTGCATATGTTTCACACATATGTTGCAAATGTTTTATTTGGATGTTGCGTATGTTTGCAATGGTTTTCACTTTTTTTTTGCAAGTGTTTTAAATACATGTTTTAAGTGCTTCATCTGCTCTAGACATATATAGCAAGTGTTACATCTGTATGTTTTAAAAGTAGATCGGTTGTTGCACATGAGATGCGCATGGAAGCGGGAGGGGGCGCGAGCGGTCCCCGCGGCGCGGACCCCCGGTGGGCGCGCGAAAAGGAGGCGCGGGCAGGGGCGCAGAGTGCAGACGCGTGCAGGGGAAACGAATCGGCCCGATCCACGGTACAGTCCGATGGATCAATATCCGATCAGACGTCCTGGCGTCAGCAGTTCCCCCAAATTAATGGCGTATATGCTGGCCAGAATGGTTTGGAGAGAATTAGAGAA